TTGACTTTAGTGACTTGGTTTGTTTACCGTACACTTTCAAACTCTTTTCATTTAGTCTTCACAATTCTATTTCTGATGGAACTTGTTTTAACTCATTAACGTACATTAGATATAATAATAATCAAATATATTTTAGATTAATTAACATTTAATCAACACATCATATAATCAAATTATATGATTGACATGTTTAAATAGCGTCTTACCAGTATGTAGTTTAGTGATGATTTTAGTCTCGATAGTCTTTCTTTCTCTAGTTTTTTCAAGATTATGTTCCATATTTCTGTGGCTTATTTGGAACTTAGTACTTGAATATTCTAAGAGTTTTTTCTGATATATTTTGCGAATTCGTAATTTAGGGAGATATTAAAAAGGATACTTCACTAGTACAAAATGGGCTTTTAAACTCGCACAATAGACCTCGGTTTACACCAAACCGCTGTCTATTCAGACACGGTGGCAGTTTTGTAATTAACGAGACCTTATAGGCCTCGGTTCAGACTTGACCGGTGCCAAAAAGGGTTACTACTTCGGTTGTGAAAGCAACCAGTGCCTAATTAGTGGTTTCTGACACAGTTAAAAAAAACCGGTGCCAAAAAGGGGTGTACTACATCGGTTGGTAGGAGGGACCGAGGCGTATCAGCCTCTACTGCCTCGGGCCAGAAGGACCGAGGCATATAACCCTCTTATTTCCCCAAATATTTTCCCCAGTTTGAACGAAAACCTACCCTCACTCTCGCCTCCCTCGCTCTCGCGCCTCCCTCGCCTCCCTCTCGCTCTCGCGCCTCCCTCCCCTCACCTCGCCTCCCTCTCGCTCTCGCGCCTCCCTCCCCTCACCTCGCCTTCCTCTCGCTCTCGCGCCTCCCTCCCCTCACCTCGCCTCCCTCTCGCTCTCGCGCCTCCCTCGCCTCACCTCGCCTCCCTCTCGCTCTCGCGCCTCCCTCCCCTCACCTCGCCTCCCTCTCGCTCTCGCGCCTCCCTCCCCTCACCTCGCCTCCCTCTCGCTCTCGCGCCTCCCTCCCCTCACCTCGCCTCCCTCTCGCTCTCGCGCCTCCCTCCCCTCACCTCGCCTCCCTCTCGCTCTCGCGCCTCCCTCCCCTCACCTCGCCTCCCTCTCGCTCTCGCGCCTCCCTCCCCTCACCTCGCCTCCCTCTCGCTCTCGCGCCTCCCTCCCCTCACCTCGCCTCCCTCTCGCTCTCGCGCCTCCCTCCCCTCACCTCGCCTCCCTCTCGCTCTCGCGCCTCCCTCCCCTCACCTCGCCTCCCTCTCGCTCTCGCGCCTCCCTCCCCTCACCTCGCCTCCCTCTCGCTCTCGCGCCTCCCTCCCCTCACCTCGCCTCCCTCTCGCTCTCGCGCCTCCCTCCCCTCACCTCGCCTCCCTCTCGCTCTCGCGCCTCCCTCCCCTCACCTCGCCTCCCTCTCGCTCTCGCGCCTCCCTCCCCTCACCTCGCCTCCCTCTCGCTCTCGCGCCTCCCTCCCCTCACCTCGCCTCCCTCTCGCTCTCGCGCCTCCCTCCCCTCACCTCGCCTCCCTCTCGCTCTCGCGCCTCCCTCCCCTCACCTCGCCTCCCTCTCGCTCTCGCGCCTCCCTCCCCTCACCTCGCCTCCCTCTCGCTCTCGCGCCTCCCTCCCCTCACCTCGCCTCCCTCTCGCTCTCGCGCCTCCCTCCCCTCACCTCGCCTCCCTCTCGCTCTCGCGCCTCCCTCCCCTCACCTCGCCTCCCTCTCGCTCTCGCGCCTCCCTCCCCTCACCTCGCCTCCCTCTCGCTCTCGCGCCTCCCTCCCCTCACCTCGCCTCCCTCTCGCTCTCGCGCCTCCCTCCCCTCACCTCGCCTCCCTCTCGCTCTCGCGCCTCCCTCCCCTCACCTCGCCTCCCTCTCGCTCTCGCGCCTCCCTCCCCTCACCTCGCCTCCCTCTCGCTCTCGCGCCTCCCTCCCCTCACCTCGCCTCCCTCTCGCTCTCGCGCCTCCCTCCCCTCACCTCGCCTCCCTCTCGCTCTCGCGCCTCCCTCCCCTCACCTCGCCTCCCTCTCGCTCTCGCGCCTCCCTCCCCTCACCTCGCCTCCCTCTCGCTCTCGCGCCTCCCTCCCCTCACCTCGCCTCCCTCTCGCTCTCGCGCCTCCCTCCCCTCACCTCGCCTCCCTCTCGCTCTCGCGCCTCCCTCCCCTCACCTCGCCTCCCTCTCGCTCTCGCGCCTCCCTCCCCTCACCTCGCCTCCCTCTCGCTCTCGCGCCTCCCTCCCCTCACCTCGCCTCCCTCTCGCTCTCGCGCCTCCCTCCCCTCACCTCGCCTCCCTCTCGCTCTCGCGCCTCCCTCCCCTCACCTCGCCTCCCTCTCGCTCTCGCGCCTCCCTCCCCTCACCTCGCCTCCCTCTCGCTCTCGCGCCTCCCTCCCCTCACCTCGCCTCCCTCTCGCTCTCGCGCCTCCCTCCCCTCACCTCGCCTCCCTCTCGCTCTCGCGCCTCCCTCCCCTCACCTCGCCTCCCTCTCGCTCTCGCGCCTCCCTCCCCTCACCTCGCCTCCCTCTCGCTCTCGCGCCTCCCTCCCCTCACCTCGCCTCCCTCTCGCTCTCGCGCCTCCCTCCCCTCACCTCGCCTCCCTCTCGCTCTCGCGCCTCCCTCCCCTCACCTCGCCTCCCTCTCGCTCTCGCGCCTCCCTCCCCTCACCTCGCCTCCCTCTCGCTCTCGCGCCTCCCTCCCCTCACCTCGCCTCCCTCTCGCTCTCGCGCCTCCCTCCCCTCACCTCGCCTCCCTCTCGCTCTCGCGCCTCCCTCCCCTCACCTCGCCTCCCTCTCGCTCTCGCGCCTCCCTCCCCTCACCTCGCCTCCCTCTCGCTCTCGCGCCTCCCTCCCCTCACCTCGCCTCCCTCTCGCTCTCGCGCCTCCCTCCCCTCACCTCGCCTCCCTCTCGCTCTCGCGCCTCCCTCCCCTCACCTCGCCTCCCTCTCGCTCTCGCGCCTCCCTCCCCTCACCTCGCCTCCCTCTCGCTCTCGCGCCTCCCTCCCCTCACCTCGCCTCCCTCTCGCTCTCGCGCCTCCCTCCCCTCACCTCGCCTCCCTCTCGCTCTCGCGCCTCCCTCCCCTCACCTCGCCTCCCTCTCGCTCTCGCGCCTCCCTCGCTCTCGCGCCTCCCTCCCCTCCCCTCGCCTCCCTCGCTCTCGCGCCTCCCTCCCCTCACCTCGCCTCCCTCGCTCTCGCGCCTCTCTCCCCTCGGTCTAGCTCCGTCGCTCTCTCGGTCTCCAAAATCTCCTGCGAGTGCGTCGCCTCTAGAGGGAAGAGCAAGCGGTGGTGGTGCGTCAATGGTGGCGGCGGTGATAGTGGTGGTGGTGGTGGTCAGATTAGGGTTTTTCTGATGTTGATGGTGGTGGTGCGAATCTGAGATTAGGGTCAGATTGGGGTAAAATTAGGGTCAGATTAGGGTTTTTCGAATCTGAGATTTTGTTTTACTTGCATCTTTGAATCTGAGATTGGGGTAAAATTAGGGTCAGATCTGATGTTGCCTGTGTTAACTTTTCTGTGTTAATTTGCTTGAGGCACCAAAATTAAATTCCTGTGTTAATTTGCCATCATTTTCAAAGCAAGCTAATGTGTTCAGATCTACAAAAAGGGGTGAGGGTTTTGCTTAATCTGAGTTCTCTCCTTGTTCAAAAACCCTACTGATAATGCATAACGAAAAAAAAAATAAAAAAAAGACCCTACTGCCTCGGTTTAGCTTCCAACCGAGGCAGTAGAAGGAGAAGAACAATCTCGGTTCTGATAACCGAGACCGAATCGTACCGTTTTTTGTCTCGTTCCAGAACCGAGGCATAAAGTTGATCACTTTTTACCTCGTCTGAATATGCCTCGGTTCAAAAAACGGTGCCTATTAGCGAATTTAACCGGTGCCATTTCCTTTAAATGTACTAGTGCTTGGAGATGTTAAACTTAATGTCTGGAAAAACTTTATTGTGTAACTTATAAAGATTGATACCGGTGATGTTTGGAGAGATTGTATTAGCTGTAATAAAGTATTTTGATTAATGAAATATCTTAAATAGTATATATGAAAGAGACCTTGACATAACCCTTGAGTTAGGAATAAACGAGTGTAAAAGTTCTGTTTATACTTTATCTGCTTATTGTTTTATTTCAAATCATTCAACGTGCAAAAAGAGTAGACTCCCTTAAATTTCCGTTTATAGAGCCATATGCACTCTATGCACTAACAGAGTGCATAGAAACATGTCACGAAGCAAGCAATGTATTGCATATCTCCAAGTGAGATAAACTGTTTTTAACTATTTTTTTTGGCACAATCCGATTTATTTGTGGCTTAGTTTCCCTTTCTTTAAATGTCTCTCTTAAATTTGGTGCAGAACAATCTCAAATTGTGCAGTTGTTTTACCCATCAAAAGAAGACAAATAAAAAAGCGAGAAATCCTAAATAAGTATTATATACTTAAAAAAAGTAATGATTCATGGATATAAAAACGGTGCATTAATACTTAGTATGTACTTACAAAATGATAGATTTATATATAGGAAAATGTTATTTTGACAACAAAAGTTTGACACAATTTTGACAACGGCGACGTGGCAGCTGTGCATTGGCTCAGTGAACCGGGGTGAGGGGTATTTTGGGTTTTTTCTGGTTTGTTTTCAATTCACTGAGCCAATGCACAGCTGCCACGTCGCCGTTGTCAAAATTGTGTCAAACTTTTGTTGTCCAAATAACATTTTCCTTATATATATATATGATGTAATAAGAAGAAAAAGTTAAAAAAAAAGTATATGATAAGTGTGGACAAAATAAGAAATGACCATGAATAATTTTCCTTAAAAAACTTGAACACAAACTTTGATAATATTGCATGAAGAGGTAAAGAAACGTCTGAACATGTAAAAGAAAAAACGAAGAAGAGAGAGATGATAGAACTTGTTTGAGTACTAGAAAACAGAAATTGTAATTAAAATTGGAGAAATGGTAAACAAGGGGTGTGTAATCATTGAACATAAAGCAAAAGAAAGCATAAAATTCAGCAAAATCCATGACTAATATCAGTAGCATTAACAACTGGTGGAATAACAAAATGCCAAAGCTTCCTAATACCCCCAACCCTATATTTCATGCACAAAAATTCCCTCGCATAATGTTTCTCAATCTCCCTATCTACGTCATGAAGAAACACGTGTGTCACGCCCGAATTTCTCCTCCCACGCGCCATCATGGCAGCTGAGTATATCACCGCCATCCTCCCCGGTGCAGCGGGAAAATACCCTCGGGGCCCGTCGATCATTATCACATCCCAATCACGATCGTACACATCATTCGGCAGGTTGCTGAGTGCCAGCACGCACCGCAAGTCACCCTTTAAGGGATGACCGGTAGAGGTGGTGCCGCCACAATCCCTTTTGTAAGAGGTTAGGAGGGTCTTGGCGTCGGAGAGGCGCGTCTGGTAACGCACTGTGTGGGCGCGTATGATGGGGAAGCGTTGGAGGGCGGCGAGGGTCCACTTGGGATCTTCCTCAAGGAACAACGTGGTGCCACGTGGATTGAAGGAGTCCCACATGAGGGAGTCGTGGCCGAGACCGAATACGAGGAAGTTGCATGGGGCGAGGGATTGGAGGACGTCGAAGGTGCGTCGGATCTCGCCCTTGGTCTGTTGCGGGAGCGCGAGCGCGGTGGCGTAGTGGAGGATGGTGACGAGGGTGAGGGGTGTGTCGTCGAACTCGGCGGCGATGACGGACTCAGAGTTGGTGAGGCGGAGGGGTTTGGCGGTGTAGATGCAGAGGCTGTTGGGGTCGATGAGGGTGTGGCGGAAGATGAAGAGGAGGAAGAGAGTGGTGGCGAGTGTGGCGGCGAGGAGGGTGAGAAGGCGGGAGTTGGGGTTGGAAGGGTATTTCTTCTTGTGGGAAGGTTGGGAGGATCTGAATATCCACGCTTGCATGTTGCTATACGTGTGTTTGATATGTGAATGAAGCTATGTGACTCTGCGGAGGCTCTGAATGATGGAAATGTTTGAGATGCATGGAGATGAGCGGTTGTAGCCACAGTTTCATGGACAGATCGTTTTTCTATATTTAGCTCACATAGACTTTGTCGCATCTTTTGTGGTAAATCATGTTATTTTAATCTTTTTTATTTCAAACATGTTAGTTTTTTGAGGTAGTCAAACCATGTTTCTATCCACTTTGGGAAATCCAATGAGCAGTGTTAACTATCAATGCTTCGGCGAAATTTTATCAGGAAGATAAAGTAAAACAAATTTCTGCTGATAGTTTTAGGTTGCTGTAATTAAGATATGAGTATTGTTTTAGGATGTGCGATATGCCGTGGTTGCAAAAGAGTCAATTGATTTGAGAAATTATCAATCAGTCTTTCAAATTTTTGTGTGGGAGGGTATCCACCAGCATATATGATGGCAGTGGTGATGCTGGTATGCTGCAAAGTGATATCAATCTCATTTTTTTCAGTGTTTTAGAGAAAAACTAAATAGAAAGAATAATCAAAACAAGAAATAACCTGAGAAATGAGAAATTGATGAAAATAAGATTAAATATTTAGTTGCTTAATAAAGTAAACGTAGATGGGAAATAGAATGTTTTGGAAGCTTTTTTTTTTTTTTTTTCATTTCTTGTGAAAAATGCGAGAAAAAGTATAATGGCCTTAGAAATTATTTCTCTCTCCCTCTACCAAGACAATCAGTTCCCTCCATCAAATTTTCCTCCACTCTACCAACCACACCCTTATTATCATGAATAAGTGCTGTAATATATCTTTATTTTCAATAATTGCAACGATAAACGAATTATTTCAATTGCTACACTTCATTTTTTACTTTAATTTTATACATTACATTATATTTTCTATCTCAAAGGTATGTTTGATCCTTGTAAAGAAAATCAAAACGCTGTCTTTGAGTGCAGGCTTGTATTGCCTGAGCTGTGATGTACAACTACGTTAATTATCAAATCAGAAAAAGCAGTTCCCAGAGTCTATGAATCAAACATGAATCCATGTTGGAAAGGTTGCAAAAAACCGTACAAATTCTCAAGTGGTCTCAGTTGCATGTAAAATGAAAAAAAATATTAAGCAGAAGAACTTCGTGTTAACCAATTTACCAAATCAAATTTTACAGAAATAGAAATCACATATCATGCTGACAGGAAGCCTGAACCATTCACTAACTAGCGGGATATTCCGTCACTGGGTTAAGCATATCACAAGCTTCAAGAGTGTTTTCTTTAAACTAATCACAAAGTAGCTATTCAGTAAATGCGTTAAGACTAACAGGACCATATCATACAAAATTAAGCATAATATCTCCACAGAAAGCCAAGGGATATTCGCATGTCCACAATGCCTGTGTTATAGCCACAACGGGGCGCATTGAAAATATAAAACTGCCGCAAGCTGCTTATTACATCCTCCAGCATGATCTGCTTTTCCTATCTTCAACTTTATCAGCTTCTTCAAACTTTGAGCACAAGACACACATCTTATAATGAAGCAGTATCTGAATATTTGATCATTTTGCAATTAAGAATGCAGAGTGGTTTGAGTGCAAGCTTTATCTCTTTGTCCCAGATGCTGCTGGGTTTGATTGATCTCTGCGCTGAACAGTTCGAGGGACGAATGACAAGCCTTTGCTGCGGCGACCAAAGCTGATATTTGAAGGGGTGGAGTCAGAAGTGCTCAGTTTAGAGACTGCTGAAACAAGGTCATCCACGGTTGCGTTTTCCACTTCCATCATTCCTGCATCCTTCTCCTTAGGAACAGATTTTTTTTGTTGGGACTTCAATCTCTGTTTCTTTGAAGGTTTAGCCTTCTTGAAAAACTCAAATGAGGTGGGAAATTTATGCTTGTCAACCAGATGCTGATGCCTACGATTGTAGCTTTTGAATTTCAAACCACACTTTTCCACCAAGCATTCATACTATATAACAAGGACAAGAAACACATTAACAAGTTGGCATCAAGTGAATAATTAAATATGTGGATGCACAAAATGATAATAGCCTATACAGTTAGGTTCCAAAGAAATAACAGATAAAAAGCATGTAAGGAAGGCAAAAAAAAAGTTTTAAGCAGTATTTGAAAACCAAACCGTTAATGAAGTTTTGCTGTCAACTTGTAAGGTTATATAAATATAAAAGAAAAAAATATAGGGTATACTTTATCAGAGAAAATAGAAGAAACAGAAGTAATTTTGAATGTCCCACACTGAAGAAGGCTACGTATATCCAACTAGTCAATTCTTCAACAATGATCTAAGACCAGGAATATCTTATAGATGCAATATTATAAGGAATTGTATCGTGATAGCACAATGAATCATCTTTACACTTACACACCATATCGTAACCACGTGCAACTTTTGCCTGAAAGAAAGAATCATGCACTTCAGATACATGTATGCTGAGCAACCGAGACGTTGGGTAAACTCTAAAGCACACAGAACAAGATGCAGTATGCCTTGCATTATAGTGATTCTCGAAGTCATCCATTGAAGTCAAGCGTGCACCACAGCCAACAATGGGACAAAAGATTTCCCTGCACAAAAAAAATAGAATTTGAGATGAGGCACGTGGACTGTCACTCGTCATAGTAAAATTCAAAGTTAAAAGTAAGATGATTATTAGGCCCCTATAGGTAACAATCATTCAAAAATTCAGTTTTTGTATCAACACCCTTCCCCCCAAAATCCCTATACACCCCTTATAGAGACTGATTTTTTTTTTTTTTCATTAAGGAATTGAGTTCTAAACGAGTTTCACCTATAGGGGCCAAATGATTATTTTAACCTAAAATGCCCACGTTTTATTCCCTATCCTCTTATTAATACACACCATGTTACAGAAGTTTTCTACCCTTTGCAACCTTGTAGGGACTAAATTTTTCATTCAAGAACTGATTTAACCTATGGGGATCAAACGATAACAACTTTCTCGAGCAACAGAGTATAATACCAACAAATTGTGTTTCTTCAGCATGTATTCAGATAAATAAATTAACCACAACAATTATATAATAAAGAAGCACCTTCATCAAGAACTAAGTAGAACAAAAAAAAAAAACTGCATTTAGAGAACTAGAAATAATGACAATCTATAGTGAAAACGAAGCCCCACATTCGAAAATCATCTGCCAGAAGTGATTTCGATCTCACATAATGCTAAGGATATGAAGCTATCATATAAGGATCAGTACCTTCCTTCTTCCTCTTGCATCCATTTCTCAAGCTGTTCCTTCTCTTCTGTCAATTCCAAAGCAACCTTTGAAATACAAGGGGTAAGTAAATGTTAAATCTAAAAATTCAGTACTTAACATCATTTAATCACATACCAAACAATTACAAAAAAACAAAAAAACCTGTTTGGCAAGAAGTTCTCGTTCGAGATTGCCGGGAGCGAAGAAAGGAGAGTCGGGCCCGAACTTGCGACGGAGCGGTTTCCAGAACGGAAACCCTAATTGTTGATTGTGATTGTTCTCCACTTCCATCGCCATCTTCACACTCTTCACTTCAATCACACAAGGTATTCTTTTTCCACTTTCAATTTTGAATTGAATAGAAACTTCAGAGTGCGGACCATATTTTTGAGTCATATGTTTCTGTCGGACTCTATATACTTGGGCTCAAAACCTCTTTCAAATTCGGCAAGGTCAATTTAGCAATTTCATTACTACTTGTCCCCTGTTTTTCTATTTCCACCTCCTTAGATAACTTTATTTAATTTGTTTTAACCAAAATTCCCTTCACGTAAACTAATTCTACGAGATGAAATTATAGATATAAGTTAGTATTTAATAGAAATATGTGTTCATTGTCTAGTTAATTCAAATTTCTTTCTATGTGTTTATTATTTATCTTTTATTAAATAATTTAGCATTGGTTTATGATTTGAATAGCTAGTTGTTATACCAAAATCATAATTGGCTGATTGTCGTCATTTAACACTATCTAACTCAAACCGTGATTCATTAATAAAATGGTTTTTTTGTCTAGTTAATTAACCTTTTCTATGTTTTTATTATTTATCGTTCGTTAAATAATTTAATATTGACTTATTATTTGAATAACATGTGGTTACATGAAAATCATAATAGGGGTTGTCAGTCGTCATGTAACACTATCGAAATCGCATGTTTCATTTTTTAATTATTACAATTTAATATAAAATATGAAATAAAAAAATCGAAATTGAGAACTATTTCTGAAATAAGAATTTAAGGAGAGGATAAAAACTTAAAATAAAAATGAAGTATAATAGAGGTTTTAAAAGTAAAATAATTTTGAACTTTGGGTTTTTGTTTGAAAATTAGTGTTTTTGAATTTATATTTTTGGTAGAACATAATTGTTATGTTATTTTTTTATTATTATATTTTTGTTTAGGAAAAAAGTCTTTTACCTTTATATAATTGATATAGAAATTAATTAAGAGACTTTAGAAAGGAAAAACATGTAAATTAAATAATCTGGGTATTTAATAAAATGATATTAGGTAAATCTTTTAGAAGATTTAGTTTTTATTTTAAAAATTAATTATATGAAAATAGGAGATATGATCTTGGTGGGTTTAAAGAATGAAAGATATATTATTATTAAAGAAAATCATTATTAGATATTATTAGATATTTTAAAAGATTATGTGGATTTTAAAAAGATTTGGTGGTTGATGATATTTTAAAAAGTAGTTAAGAAAGAATAAGAGAAGAAACCTTAGTGATTTTAGAGATAAACTGAGAGATTTTATTAAAACTAAAAAGATAAAGATAGAATAGAAGAAGATAAAATGGAGAAGAGTAAAAAAGGGTTTGCATTTTGTTATCCTAAAATCAAAAAATGAAAATTAGAAAGATAAGGGTGGAAAAAAATGTTTTTTAGGAGAAAAAAGGAAAAACTGCAGAAAACCTTAGTGCAAGAGAGGATTTGTGGTGTTTCTGAAGTTAGATAAAACCCTAGTATTAGCCAAGGTATGTGGAAACGTACCATTGTTTGTTGTATGCTATGCATTCTCGATTTACTTGCATGAAAATACTTGTTTGATATGTGTTATATGATTATGATTATGATTATTTGTTGTTATTGTTGGACAAGGGTTTGTGTGTGCATGAGAATAGGTTTTTGATAATATTTGTGATGGGTTTTCCTATGAATGTATTATGTATGTTTTGTTGGGTTATCCCAAAAGAGAGTTTGATGCTAAGAGAGAATAAAATTATGATGCTTGGGGGTTTGCATGCAAATATATGTTGTAAGTGTTGGGTTATTGGACTCCCTTCCTATGTAGAAAATAGGCCAAATAATGTGGACCATTATGTCTTTCTTTATTTTAGTGGAAATGGGTAACATTAGAGTCATTTGAAGAGAGGGAAAAACCAAGTGAGAGAGAAAGGAAGAGAAGTCATTCCCGCATAACATAAAACCTACATTGGTGTTTTCATTCACCGTTAGATTAAGCTGATTTAGGGACAGTGGGTTCCAGACGTATGGTTCTTCATTCTGACCATTCAGATCATCAACCGGAGGTCTAGTTTGGGAGAAAACAGTCTCGCATTAGTAACTTTGTTTTGGAGAATTTTCATCTTCTTTGTTCTCATTTGTAAGCATTATGCTTAGTTAGTTTGACTGATTGAAAACCCCGTTTGGTGGTTTTATCGGAGACTCTTTTGCACCATATTATTGATCACAATCAATTTTTCTTTGGTCTAGACAATTCGTGGTTTTTACCCATGAATTGAAGGGTTTTCCATGTTAAAAATTGTTAGTGTCTTTTTATGCTTTGGATTTTGTTTTTGCGCTATTTGTTTAGTGCTCCTTGTCGATGCTCACAAGAAGGGGGATTGAATTTCCGCTGTGTTATTACTCTTTGTTAAGTTGCTATTGTTTTTGGCCCTTTCTCCCATCAATAAGGGTATGGTAATAATCATATGCAGTATAATTGGGAGTATAACATGTCAATGATTGGATTTGGATGATTCAAGTGATGTATTATATGTGTTTGAGTATGTTTGCATGAGTATGTGATGCTTGAATGCATGTATGATGTGTTAAGTATGTTTCTAAGTGATTTAGGGTTGATGTATGTATGTTTGAATGCTTGCATCATGTCCAGAATGTGTTTTAATTCAGCAATGATCAATTATCATTAGTTATAATCGATTATTTGTTCGTTGGTTTTGAGTGTGGTTTCGAGAATAATCGATTATCTGGGATGATAATCAATTATCCTTTCCTGTGTGATGTTTCTAGATAAATTTTATTGAGATAATCGATTATCTTAAGTGATAATCGATTATCACAGTGCATTTTGGTGAAAAATAGCGAATTTGAGTAAAAATGGATGTGGACCAAGCCTGAGGAGCTGTGGAACATGATGATAATAAGATATCGAGTTTAGTGGTTATGTTTAGGGTTAGTTCGACTTGTGGTTGAGAGTGGAGCATGAGTGAGTGTTAGGATGTACCTGAGTATGTGATTGATGAGCATGAGAGTGGAGGATAAGTTTACTTGATATACCTCGTAAATCCTGGTTCTATCTACGGATAGGTGCTTCCTTTTGCCTTGTGTGCATTGGAAGAGTTGTTCGGGTATTGAGCCTTCCTTGTGTAGGGGTAAAGGTGTGTTCCTTATCCTTGTGTGGCAGGACTACATGTTCCTTAGTTGGATTGCGGGAATACTTGAGCAAATCTGTAGGGGAGACTATATATGATCTATGTGGCAAGACTACAATGATGCTCATGGTGTTGTTCATGGATGGGATAATCATGATGATGGTGTATCTATGATGATGGTTATGGTACTTGAGATGTTCCAAGTGTTGTTATGTTGATAACGGTGTTACTATAATGGTTATAGTAGATAGTTAACATAGATGCTAATGGGTAGATAAACCAATGGTCTAAGTGTGAGATGTTGGAGATGACATCAATGGTTAAATATCGAGAATCAAGTAATTCATTATGTTTGAATTATTTATGTGAAAAGATTAAGAATGTTATTATTATTACTTCCATTTATAAGATGTTTGATTATGGTTGATATAATCAGTGTATATGTATCTGTATGTTATATATATATATATATATATATATATATAATTTTAGGAAATTTTTCATTTTCTGAAATAGTCAATTTAACATTTGTACTGGTAAGAAAAAAGTTATATACAATGTACAATATTTATTTAATATTATTGAATAATAAACTCTATGTAAAGTAATTTTGTTAACTTTAAAACAGTTATCTAAATTTTTAAATAAATGAAAATAGTTTCCCTGTGTTACTAACCTCATGAGGTTTCCAAAATATGAAAGGAATGATATCATCACGCTCAAGTATGGGTCTGCAAAATTAATAAATGCCTAATATCGTTGTTACTTAGTTGGAAAATTCGCAGCCCCAGGAGGAAAAAAGCAAAAAAATTTGACGAGTTCAGGTATGGTGCTTGCGTTGAGTGCGTCTGAGGGCTACACATTAACTATTAAAGTGTATACATTTATATTGATTAATTAAGAAAAGAAGGAGCACAGCAAGAAAAGAATTCATGTCAACACCTAATCTTTGAATAAAAAATTAGTTGAGTGGTGATAATTCATGAATTAAATTCGAAGATGATTCACATGATGCATAGGTCAAAGCTTGACATGCGTAGATGCATCTCCATTCTTACATTGGTTACGGTGTCAAAATCATCTAGTAACTACTGATAAACATACTTTAAAATTGCACGCATTTATTAAAATCCTGAGCTTTAAACCAAATTAGCAAGTAATGTGCAGAATAAAATGAAATCAGTTTTTTATTCGAAACCCATATAAGAAAAAAAGAACAATTTAACATAGAAATTAATGAGTACCAACTCCTTTAGTTCAAAGTGACAAGAAACTCGACTCTTGGATCAGGTTTGAGACAAATAAATGGAAAAATGGAAAAACTTTTGACCATTTCATATTAATGACTTTATTCAACAAGCATAAAGTAAAATAAAAAAGAAAACAAATAACCAGTCATTTACTTGTAAATGAGATCAACCAAACAATTTGTTAGTATTTATTATTTTGATTAAAGGAGCTATCAGAAACAAGTTTCAATTTTATGGATAAAATTATATTTTGGTCATGTACTTCTTTTTTTAAGATTTGCCTTTTTTATAAATATTTACTTTTGTAAGTAATTTTAAACAACTTTTGAAAATTATGACTTTAATAAATTGTTATATATAAATTTAATATTTAGTTATGTTAGATTATGATCTAATACATCTTATATAAGATTTTGATCAAGTGTTTGTTAAACAATAAAACATAAATAATGAAAACACTACATTTGTAATACACACATGTTTTTCAAAAGATAAATAATGCAAGACACGTTATATTTTTTTTGACAATTCATACAACATATGTTTTTCTTGCTTCATTTTATAAGTGAAGTCTTTATGAGACGACATACATGAACATAATACTTTAAGTTAACGCTGTACTAAACAAAAGTCATCATCAACTTATTTTGTGGTATGAGAATTGTCTCATCCTCACATCTACTAATCTCATAAAACATACATCAATGCCAAATATCTCTTGAAGGACGTATAAAAGTTGCTTCATGTCAACACTTATTCTAACACACCTCATGT